AGGGACCGATTCGATGCAATCCTATTTGGACACTGTTCTCACGATTGTGTCGTCTCTAAAACTGGCTCATGAAGAAATTTCTGAACAAGATATTATTCTCTGCGTTCTTCGCGGTCTACCGACTGACTATGCCTCCCTCAAGCAAAATATTCGCACCAATATTGCCACCGTCACGTTTAATCAGGTCTCCTCTTGGTTGTTGTCCGAAGAATTGAACTTATCTTTTGAGAAAAAATTATCTCTGGGTGACTCCGGCTCTACTTCGTCCGTTGACATTCATAATGCACTTTTCACTAATTCCGGACGAGGCAATGGTAGAGGTCGTGGCCGAGGACCACCGCGAGGCCGAGGAGGGCCTTACCGCGGCAGTCAACCCGGCGGTAGAGGCGGACGGCAGCCGCAGTACCGTGACGACGCCCGCGGCAGAGGAGGTGGCCGAGGGGTGTCCGTCACCTGCCAGCTGTGTGGGAAACCTGGCCATGCGGTCTGGAGTTGTTGGCACCGCTACGGCGACTCATACACTGGTCCTCCGCAGGCGTATTATGCAAATCAATCCGCTGAATCTGGTTCGAATTGGCACCTGGACACTGGCGCAAACACTCATGTCACGTCTGTTCTATCTCGGCTGAATTCTATGTCACCATATCATGGCACCAACTCCATCACAACTGCGGGAGGTAACACATATCCTATTGACCATACAGGCTCAGGTATATTAACCACACCCCACCATAATTTTCACCTATCCAATCTCCTTCATTCTCCTCACATTAATTCTCATCTTCTTTCTGTTCATCAATTTACTAAAGATAATAACTGCTCTCTTCTTTTTACCTCTAAGGATTTTACGATTCGGGACAACCTAACCAATCAAGTCCTTTTCAAGGGCCCTTGTGAGCGTGGCCTGTACTCCATACTGGCATCAAGTTCGTCTCTGGTGGTCAACTCCGTCAAAGTCACTCTGTATCAATGGCACTGGCGTCTTGGTCATCCCTCAGTTCAAGTCACTCAGTCCTTATTGTCTCAATTAGGTTTTAAGTTTCAGCATCTTGATCATTGTAATTCATGTTCTCTTGCTAAGTCCCATAAACTCCCCTTCCCAGTGTTAGATACTAAAACATCTGCTCCGTTTGAACTTATTCATTCTGATGTATGGGGACCTACTTCTGTACCCTCTTTTGGGGGATATCATTTTTACATTAATTTTATTGATGATTATACCAAGTTCTGTTTATTGTACCCTCTTAAAAATAAATCTGATGCGTTTGATGCTTTTCAAAGTTTTCAATCCATGGTTCGTACTCAGTTCAATGTGCACCTTAAACTCTTTCGCACAGATAATGGGCGGGAATATGTCAATAAAAAGTTTGGGTTGTTTTTACAGAACTTGGGGATTCTTCACCAAAAATCCTGTCCATATACTCCTGAACAAAATGGTGTCGCTGAAAGAAAGCATCGTCACTTGGTCGAAACTCTTGTCACACTTCTCTGCACCGCCAATCTCCCAGCTAAATTTTGGGTCGAGGCGTTGGCTACTGCCAATTTCCTGATCAATCGCATGCCAAAAAGGTCTCTTGATCACAAATCTCCCTTTGAGTCCCTGTTTCAAAAATTCCGAGACTATAGTCTTCTCCGAGTCTTTGGCTGCTTAGCCTACCCGTGTCTACGCCACGAAATCACAAATAAGTTCCAGCCCCGGTCCAAACCTTGTGTCTTTATTGGGTACGATTCCTCCTCCAAGGGGTATCGCTGTTTTGATACCACCTCCGGTCGCATATACATATCTCGTCATGTTCAGTTCCAAGAAAGTCAATTTCCATACTCCACAGTCTCTCCCCATACAGAGTCTCCAGTTCCTTCTTCGTCATTCCTCGGTGTCCTTCCCATCTTCCCTCTAGCGTCGCCGGGTACTCCGCCACATGCTCACAAGGCTACACCACCCCATCCAACTCCCAAC